CTTCCTTGATGAGAAGTGTCACTGTCAGACTCTGTTTTACTTGAAGCTTTGGATTCTTTTTGACTGCTGAAAGCCTTGGTGGTGTTTATTTCAACATCAACCTTTTCACTAGGGCTTACTGTAGGAGTGTTATCACCTTTTACATTTAGGCAGCCAAGGCTTTGATCCTGCCTTTCATCACCATTTGAGCTCCTTTGATCACCGCCACCTGCCGCTGCTTTAATGTGCAGGATTTTCAGCCAGCGCCCAGGGCGGATCTCCACCAGCTCTTTGTTCCGAAGCGGTCCAATCCGGTTCCTCCATGGAGGCCGTGCAGATTGAGGCTGTGTAGTGTGGACCTCAGTGGAGCACTGGTCCTCCCCAGACATTTCTGTCTGTCAGGGAGGGGCCTGGAACAGTGGCTATCTCTTCCTCATGATCTTAGCCTGGTATCTTTAAAGATGATGGTTGCAGATGTCACCAGTAGTGGTGCAGAGCAATAGTTGCAGAGCTGTAGATACAGAAAAACTTTTATTTATGATAATCATGTTCTTCCATTTGTCCTCCTATGATATTTATCATCATTGTATTTTGTATCTCAGAAAAAAAATGTTGAGACAGCATTACAGATGTCTGATTAAAGAGACTCACTTTAAAAATTGACAACAAGAAATCAAAGTTATCATATACAAGATGAATGACATACTTTAATCCAAAAAGGGAATAATCAATAAATACTACTAGTATTAGTATACACAAACTTGACAAGTATGGCTCTATGCATTCGCTACTTTTTGTAAAACGATATGTTTTACTACCAAAACTGCAGCGCACTGGTATAACGGTTATAAATATGGTAATTTTTAGGACGTTGCTCAAAATTATACCTCAACTGATGACTTGACCTGATAAATGGATTGACAGTGCTTGGGATCAGTACAGACAGATCTACTGTAAGACGGCGATTACTCTACAAGTTATTCAAAGCTAGCAACATAACACTCACACACCTACCATAATTGCTCCCGACCGGCTGGCAGTGTTGCCGAGAGCACGTCAACAAATACTGGAATGTAACCTTTCACCTGCTGAGCTGCTACAGGACCCATCACCTCCATCCGCTTGTAACTAAATAGTTCCTCAGCTAACCCTCAGTTAGAATCTCGTAAGTTCGAGAAAAATAGAATTCTACATGTAACGTTAGTACTATTCTGTATAATTTTTTCGCTAGTATAAAGATTTAAGGTTGATTAGATACGTACATAAAAGAGGATGCAAATCTGCCTACGCTACAAATTAGTGAAGCGGCCTATAGTCTCGCTAAATCCTGTTGAATCTCGCGTGAGTTTAGAGTTGTACGGAGGCTCGGGGACGTGAGAAGAGTGAGACTGAGAGGTCGTTGCGTTGCAGCTGAATGGAATCCTCGCTTTGACAAGCAGAGAGTCACTTTCTTGGAGGTAATCGTACACATATTACATGTATTGATTCCAACTTGTATTAGTGCATACTAGGTGGGGAACCTCTAAGTCTTATAACAGTTACGTGTGCACATGTTTTGTGGGAGGGGGGCAGTAAGCAAGGTTTACAATAATACAAGGTTAAATTTTAACCTCCTTGTGTAGCCTGTACACCAAGATGTGTTGATTTTGGCTCCTTCAGGCATGCCTCTTATAGTTGTCTACTCTTGTTTGATTTGATTTGTTTTTTTATTTGTCATATATCGTACCAATTACGATTGGAGATAAAATTAAGTACAATATAATTTTTGGTGAACAAAATAAAGTACATGACTAAAACCTCTGTACTAGTAACTGAACATGTATGTTGAAATTATCTTTCCAATTTCCCAACAGGACAGTTTACTGCTTTCATCGGATACTTCCCTGGCACACCAACTGGCACAAGCAAAATAGTATCGTTATAACAGTCCACTAGTTGTAGTCATGGCTATGGCTAGCATGATTGTTCAGGGGTCCAGACTGTTGGCATCAGGACTGTCCAGGGCACTGCCACGTTTCACCCAACCCTCCTGCTCTGCTACAATGGGAAGAAACTACCAGCCGAGTAACACCAGGAGGTGGAACGTACACAGCTACGAGACCAGGCTGAAGACCAGGGGAGGCATCGAGGTGCTCCTCAGACGCATGTTGAAAGGAAGACACAACCTGGCCCATTTTCACCACAGAAACAAGGTCTCACCCAAGAGCAACTATGTTAACTATCAGAAAATAATGAGGTACCAGTTGACAAAAGGGAAGCCTTTAGATACTGTGTACAAACGGGAGTGAGGATGACATGCGTGAGGACTCTAATGACCTAGCACTTTTTGACACTGTCTTACCATGTAAGTTGTAACCAATACAAATTTGGTGCCAAAAGGCTACTTGAGCAGGGAGAGAGGTTCAACCAGCGACGAGATCCAAAATGTATTTGTTTACAGATGAATCAGCAGGATAAAGGTTTATGTGATCAAATCCTGTGCTGGAAGAAAATTGTACTGTATCAGCCATATGTACTGATGACTATGTGAAGGCTGGCACAGGGGTACTGTACTGCCTAGAACTCAAAAAAAAATATAAGAATAAGCACACAATTTCAGGAAATGCTAGCCTGTGAGTGTCATAGTCTTGTTGATAAGATGGTACATGTAACATTACATTGTATGATAGAATAAAACTTGATTACAAACTATAAGTACTTGATTCCTGTCAGCTCCTTAAAATTAACTAGCAAATGCCAAATATGTATTCAAATTGTCAATCCATTACCACATGGCAATAACATGGTATCAGATACTGGTATGCAGCCTTACACAGACATTGAATAATGTGAGGTTGTGGTTATTGTGGCACAGATTAAAGATAAGACTCAACATACACAGTGAAATTCAACATATTGCTCTGAAAAACTGGACTTTATTGAAAGTTTGCAAACAGAGAAATCCCTTACTGTAGAGAATGGCATCTGTGGTGGAATGTGGGGTCTACAAACTGTAGCATGGTTTGTACAAATATTGTATGAACTAAAAAGTCTCATTGGTATAGCACATTCTGATCATTTTGAAAGTTTGACACTGGTTCATTTGCAATGCCTTTTTTCACTGACAGCCTTCAGCCCTTCACTGATGTTTTCAACATTAATCCACTTCCAAATGTACAGAGCAAAATGGCCAGTTGTCACTCTAGTGTCTATTGTCAATCTCAAGTGACCAAAAAGGTACAAGATGTTCACAGAATGATGAAACCTGAGAGCTGGAGATTCTTGTAGCTTTTAAGTAAAATACTAGTCAAATACATATACTGGATGGTTTGTGCTAATAAATCATGTTCCAAAGAGTATAAACATTACATGTCAGAGTATCAAGCATAATATGTTTCTTTGTAACATAGTCGATCCCCTCATTGAAAAGATGAAAACATCAATATTGTATAGGCAAATATTAAAGGCAGATTCAAGGTACGGTAAAAGGTACATGTACATGCTGCTTTCAAATATTACGAAAATGTATGATGACCATTTGCAAAATTCTCATGGTTATAAACCTTTCAAGTTGGCTACATAGTTCAATTGTAGTTCATGATGACATTTCTTTCCAATGTGGCACATCCAACACTACTCTTGGCAGTAACAAATTCAATTAGATTTGCGCATTTGTCTTTTTACAACATAAGTTGAATGACTGACTTTTTTCTCTAGCACTGAACACAAATTTCCACTTATGAACATACCTTTCCATTTAATACCTGAAATAAACACTGAGGCTACATAGTCTCGTGGGCCAACTGTCCATTGGATCCTGACTATGCTATCACATTACAATGTTATTTCCTTTTTATCCCATCTCTAAGGGTACTTTCTTTTGCACTTTTCCTTTCACCTTCTCATGTCACTAAGCAGAAGGCCACAAGATCATCATTCTCCTAAACACTATACAATAGCAAACCATAAATGCTAGACACTATTTGGCAAATCAAATTGTCCAAAGACAATTACATGTACTAACAGGATACTATTTAAACTTAACGTACTAAGAGCTACATAGAAGAAAATGAAACATAAAATATTTTTTATTTCTCATCAAATCACTGTAAGCCAGGACTGCTCTGCAGTAGATCATTTTGTGACGTGAATAATGCATAGAAATATTTTGCAAGGAAGAAATTAACCGGAACTTAAGCTTTTATCAAAATGCTTAAGTACAAAATCATTCAAATAATGCAAGCTATTGAGTATGGATCTTACACATGATAATTTTTCAGATTAAGTATACTATGGACCTGCTATGGACAATGAACACTGTACTCTAACTGGCATGTAGTGAACAGGGTGTGTTGGGAGAATGTTTGCTTTACTACTCTGAGTTTGCCTCTGCACCATCTGTCTCCAGCTTCTGTTTGATGGCTTCCCTGTCAGCATCTGTGATCATTTCTGGGTCAATGGCGGAGAAGCGAGTGCCGTGGAAGTCACGAAGATGTATCTAAGGACGGGAGAAAAAAACATGAATGAGGTGGGAAATAAAGATCAAATCGGAGAAGAGAATGCTCCAGGCATATCCTTGGTACTGTATCTGGGAGAGATGTAACAAGTTACTCCAATAGTTCAGCCAGATTTACTTTTGTACATGACACCAGCACTATTGGCATATTATAGTATGGCCAGTGTGTCTATTCCATGACAACCAGGCATTTCTGGACACTGCAAGTTCATTTACTACATGTAGTACTTTCATGGTGGTTTTATTTTGGAGTGGGAGTGACATGGAGACTTTTGCAGTGTTTGAAAAATATAAAACCACTGCAAAGATTTCATAATTTACAGCATAATTTAGCATTCTAATTTCCAGTGACCCAGGTCTGAGAGCAGGAGAGAGATACCATACCTGTATGTACAAATTGACCTCAGCACTTCTGCTTACATAGGGGAAGTTGCCACCAGACTTGAGATGTGCCCTTTTGGAATTGGGATAACATTTGTAGAGCTCTTCTTTCACAGAGGTGGACAAAGCACTCTCATCAAATACCTGATGGACAACAAATCTGTTACAGCATTTTCTCGTTGATTATACGGTACACTTAAACCTGTTGACTGTAACAGTAGTTACTGCCATTCTTTATCATTGTCACATTCAACAATCAGCACAGCCTGCTTGGAAATTGATTATACATGATTGTAAAAGTTTTGAGAAACTGTCGTAAGGAACACATTCTTTTAGATCTGAAAAATGAAGAAAGTCTCTGTATACTAAGTAGCATTGTTGTATGTGTCCTCGAAACATGACAATGGTCAATGTGTGATAATGTGTGATGTAGTAATTGTTTTCATAGTTTTGGTTCCATCAATAAATGCACTATCCTCTGCTCTACATGACATCTCATGGCTACCATTGTCTACAAATGGCATTTCTCTGTATTTTTATACCATTTACATTGACTGAAACATTGGAATGGCACAATCCATCTTGACATTTGAATGTTGAAACCTGGAAGAGTCCTTGATGTATAGGTAGCAAAGAAAATGAAGATTCTTCTATCAGTATGGATGATGTTAAATTTCAGGCAAGGAAATACGTGTCTGCAAAGATATGCATTGCAACCCATCAAATTGTTTGGTCGCTCAGTAGTTTCAGCCTTTAGAGGAAAGGGGGTGTGAAAGCACTGTACCCATCACTGAAAGCTATAAAGATCACTAAGGCAGATAAACAGACCACAGAATACAACAAGCAGAAGGCAGTGTCCAAAATAGCTCATAACTACCTAACACTGTTTTGTATGACTTAAGTTAATATCAGAGAAATAGAAGAACAGGCTGAGTCAATCATCTGGAAAGCAAGCAAATAAAATGGATAGCTGGAAATGAAATTGTCCTGTCTAGACTGTCAAGAATTGAATTTATCTAACAATTATAACATATTACACAAACAAGTCACACACTGCATCATACACTATATTTGTTCATCTTCTATCATTCCTTGCCAGACATAGTACCACAGAAAAAGAAAATCAGTCATCCCAAACCACATCCTATAGACTGAGATACCACATGTGCAGCCAGGCGACATCACAAGCTGAGAGAAAACCCCGAAGAGCATGCAGTAAAGAAAGAGCCCAGCCACTCACATCAAGGATTGTGACAGGTAATTGGTTGATTTTCTCTCCGTCAACAGAGGCATTTTGACAGTTCAGGGTGAGACGTGAAGCCAGCTCAGACTGGGGCAGGCTATCCATCTGCAGTTAATATAAAGGAAATAGGGCTTATAAAGATCTGCTTCCACCCTACTTACATCTATTACGGTAATGGCAATGTTCTGGATCCTTTGTGGCTCCACGTAGGAATCTTGACAGTTTAAGGTCAGTCTGGAGGCCAGTTCAGACTGGGGGAGGCCCTCTAGCTGTAGAGACACAACACATACACTGTGAACAGAAAACATATTTCTGCAGGGCTCAAACGTGCAATGATACGAGGTACAGAAAAAGTATTTCAAGCCCTGCATTCCCAATTATGACTTATGAGCAGGTTAACTAAAAAGTTGTTAAAAATTCAAACCTTACCACTGGATGGCACTAACACACCCTCCTCCAGACAGTATTGCAGCTCGTTGCCATACAATATATGTACATGTATATTATACAGCTGCAAAGGTCCCTGACTGGGGGCTAGGCAGCACTTAGCCAGCCTTCCCTAGTTCATACCGGATAGGCTACACATGTTGATGTTCTTCTTGACACACCCCACCCAAGATTTCTTCTGAGTACAATTCAAAATAGTTTTTTGGAACCTCATTATCATTTTTACTGACTTTAGCCTAAGTACAGCATAAATTCCAAACCCGTGTGATAACTCACACATTCCACCAGGAAGTCGACGGAGTCTGCAATGGCAGGTTCAGTCATGCCCTGTGTAAAGTTTCCCATCACCATCTTCTTCAGCATGAAGGCAGGCATCAGCCAAAACCTGCCAAATACAAGCTCTTACTGTAAGAGACTGGCAAGGATGAATGTAACTGATTACATAACTGTTCAATAGACTGTACCAATTTAATTCCTTGTTTGTTTGTTTGTTTGTTTTTAGTGCCACTTCATTTTTTCTGATTTGAAAAAAGAATGATAAATGATTACAACTGCCATTCAGGATATGAATCAATCCCGAAATGTCCATATTTTGCCAACAGTCAAAGACAGTTCTTCCTAGATGTTAAAAGTTTTTCCCATTTATCAATTTTTCTAATTTCATTGTTTGAAATGGTAACTACACTTACGTCTGATACATGCCTGTTTCTTCTTAACATTGTCATGTACATGTATGTCTATTTCCTATGCCTCGAAAGTTTTGAGACAAAACTGATGAAAGTATTGTGTTATCAGTACTCACGTTGGTGCTGTTGTAGTTTGCTGAAAGACAGTGGTGTCACTGAAGGCATTGCACAATATCATGGAGTGAACCCGTGGGCTCTTGTATGTGGCTTCTGCAAACTTCTGGCCCAAGAACCCTCCCAGCGATGCTCCAAATATATGAATCTGTCGAAAGCACATGCCAGACAGTTATCTGACAATACACCTAATGTGGGTATACCTCAACTTCGTCATTAAAATGAATATTTTTTTGCTTAATAGACTAAGAAAACGTTTGTTGTTGTAGATGATTTACTTTTGTGGTGACTTACTTGTGTTATATAATCTAGTATCAAGAGGAATTAAGATAATTGCTGTCCTGTTAACTATGACAAGATTTCATGCTTGTGGCACCTTGTCCAACTGTAGATGATCCAGTAGTTTTCTGAAGCCATCTATCCACTCCTGTAGACTCCAGTACACGGGATATTGAAGCTAGAAGAGAACAGGCTAGAATTAATATAAGGCAACAGGTTTGACCATCTTAAAAGTTTACAAGTGTAACACTGTACCACATTTCTTTTTTTTCATAGGTGATTGCGCTCTGGTACATACTAGTAATACAAAGGGCATTTTAACACTAACAGGGCCCTGAGATACACACATTAAAGAAAATATGTGCTTACTGCTATGACTCTGTAGCCCAGTCCTGACAGGGCCATGATCTGCCTGAAAAAGACATCTGCAGTACCACTGACAGGCGGTAGGCAGACTAACGGACATTTCACGTTCCTCGGGCCAGCATCATACATGGTCCACACCTTGCTGTCATCGTCATCAACTACAACCTGCAGTAAGCCACAAAAGGAACAAGCAATTGATCTCCATGCAGATGTAGGGTTTTAGTGGTTTAAAATCAGTGTTTTACTTTTTCACCATTTTGTACAACTTTATACTGTTCTGCATTAAGCTCCTTGCTTCTCCCTGATTTAATGCACAATTTTTACTTTTTGTCAAAATTACAGAAATATAGACTTAGAAACATAACTTCTATATCTTTTTTACCAGGCAATGTGATCGTGTCTTTGTAATTTTGTGATCAGTACAAAGCAAACATATTTTTGTTCCACCGTTATCAACATGGTGCTGAACCAAATTTATGGCCCTTTGTGAACTTGTAAGTACAACGTTATAGCTGCTAGCTGTAAACATATTACAAGCTCAAGTTGGCCATATATACATTAAGGCGTATGTTTTACCCTGGTTACGTAATCATAAGGCAGAAAACAAGCAGCAGCATAACAAGGAAGGCCACAAACAAGTTTACTTACTTTCTTCTGAGAAACAGAGCTTCTGAAGCTACCATATTCACGTGAGTTCCTTATTTCCCCCATGACGACGGTCACAGATTCAATGTCACTTCATCACTGCAATTGTTCAGACTGAAACAAGCTTGTGAAAGACAAGTTTTCAAAACGTTGTCCCAACAGGGTAGGTCCGTCCCGCCTAGTCTCGTCCCGCGTCAACATGAGCGAAGTCCACACGACATTCCGCCCCTCCCACCGTCTACTTTCGGTCACACGAACGTGGGACCCCAGTCTACGTTCAGTATGACGATCCTGTTTCAGAGAGTCTCCCCTGTGGTGTACTACAAGTTTTGTTCAACAAACGTTGGCAAACTGGTGATAACGTCGTAAAACTGGCGATTCCAAACAATAAATTTGGTTCCGGAAGCTGAAGTTCACATTGCTGAAATGGCCGACGGCATCACAACGCGAACGAGTGAATATAAGATAGATTAATATCAGGAGTTACGAAGATAATGAGCCAAAAATAACACATTTTAGCTATGATAGTGTAGCTTTATTAGCTTTATGTAGTACCTTTTGAATAGGTATTGGTGACTAGAAAGGCAGCTAAATGAAACTCCATTTTCGCGTTTGCTGCTGTCATCACCTCGTGATTTCCTTGTGACATTGGCTCGCTATTTGTGTGCAGATTCGTGTTCATAAAAAAAAATGTTTTTTAACAACGCGTCATTTTTCTTTGTCTAAATGTTGATTTCCTTTCAACTTTTTTTATTCATGCCAGGATACGTTCAAGTCAAACAGTTCGCGCATTATAACAGTTCGCGCATTATAGACCACTGATGGACGACCTCTGTCGGCTACGCTGTGTACTGCAACAATATAGACTTCCCTGATCATGATGATGTGAAGATAGTGATGATGTATTTTGGTGAGTTTGAAAACAAGATCACCAAGTAACTCATAAAGTTCCAAACCCCCAAAGGGCCGGACTGACGGATTTTCATGATTCTGGTATGTGACATTACATAGATTGAGTAATGAATAAGTATAGAAATCATGCAAATTAGAACACAATTTGTGAAAGTTTATGAATCCACTGCATTTCATGATAGGACTCTCAAACATGACAAATATGACTGAGGTAAAGTGCAATATCAATAGATATTAATTATGTAACTGAGATAATTTGCATAATTGATAAGAAAACACTATAATTCTGTAAAGGTACATAATGGTAATTCAATCCGAATGGCATTTGGAAGTTAAGTAGCGTTTAAGTTGAAAAGAGGACCATTTTTTTATATGAACCATGTAAATCAGGGCCTCGTTTACATCTATGAGGAACCACAAATACCATGATGACTTCATGGAATTTGTGCCCTTCGGACTCCTGTTCATTGTTTCTATGATGTTTTATTCACTCAAGAATGTAAGCAAAGTATGTGTAGGACTTTTTAATCAACAATATAACTCAAGGACAACATGCTGATATCAGGCTTTATAGAAGTCCTTTAATAGTATAGTGTGAGGTTAGGTACAATTTCTACAAGGCTACTGTTTTGGATATGGATAGACAAGAATGGGCTCTACATGCTGTTCACGATTTGTCAATAACGTTACATCGCTACCAAACACAAAATGAACCTTCTTCAAACTCTTGACTATACTGAAACGTACAGCAATGAGTTGACTAGATTCAAGGGGTTAAAAGAACTCTTAAACTTCGACAACTGATAACGACAGACATATAACGTTAGTTTAAACAAAGGATTACATCATGGAGAGTGGCTGGTCCTTTAGTCGAACCGGTGGAATATTCTGAGTTCTAAGGCAGTTATCACATGCCCATTCTGCCGCCTGTTCAGCTGTTAGCAGGTGATAAGCCGCCTCGGTCAGCCCGGTGCACACCCTGTGAAACCACTGGTTACAATGAGCCTCGCACAGGATAGCCTCATCATTGTCACTCACTTCCTGTCTGCAGATCCCACAGGGGTAGGCAGGGCCAGACACAAACCCATTGGTGGCTCCGCCCATCTGTGGAGGGACAAAAAACACCAGAATATGTTATACACAGCAAGTCTGCTGTGTCTTTTCATGAAATAAACCACTTGTTAACAGTACTAAATGCAAGATGAGGGTAATGTTTCGAGCCAGTTTTCAGCTCAATTCCTTGCAAAGTATGCAGAAACAAACCTAGGACCTACATGTATGTATAAAGATCTTCAGGAAATATAGATACTGTAATTTGGAAAATGGAAATGTTTATGCAACTTTAAATCTTCAGTCGTGGCAAGTGCAGGGAAGGGGGTGGAAGACAAATGATTTGATAACGTTAATGATCAGTTCAAGGTACAAAAGTGACCCTACTATGAAAAATCAAGGAATTACAGTATATCATGTTTCATAATCTCACCTTGTTTGGGTCTCTGGAAACAGGTGGATTCAAGGTTTTCAGGGTATGTGGGTTGGGGGCAGGGGGAGGGGGATGCTGTTGCTCAAACTCATCAAAAGGATTCTGGACTTTTATGTCCTGTGCCATGAGGGTGGGGGGTGGTACACTGTACAACTCAGGAGGGGGGCTTGCTTCCGAAGCCGGAGGAGGGTTCGAAACTGGTGACGCCTCCTGCAATCAAAAAACAAACCAGTTAATTGGGATGAATACGGTAATGACAGTGGTTAAAACATGGACAAAATGGAGACATTGGTTAATTTTTATCCTGTTTTAGCAAACTGTAAAAATGGTGAATCCCAAAGGAACTGATTTTGCAAAAGCCTATGTCAATTAATCAAAATCAATCAATTAAACTCCTATATCTAGGAAATGATTAGAAAAATTGAATAGTCAAACAAATGTCATTATAATGCTGAGATTACAACTCAAAAAAATATGATTTGGGGGCATATTCAACAATGACAGTTCAAGTTTGCATGTTTCTACATTTTTCACAAATCGATGCTTCTGGCATGAGAGTCGTTAACACATGGGCTGACCTGAGGCTGTCCAGGCCCGGGTGCTGGGATGGCTTTCTTCTTCTTCTCCCCTGGTTTGGTCCGTTTGGGTGAACCACTGGGCTGGCTGCTGGGCTGACTGAGTGGTGTGGAACTCTTACTGCTGCTGTCCTCCCCCTCTCCCTCACTTTCAGATGATGCTACACGAGACCATAGAAAATCGTGTACATGGAAGGACTTCTGTAGTCTCTGACCTCTTACAAAAAGACTTACAAAAACGTGCGACAACGGTACAAAGCAAACAAACTTCAACAAAACAACGTGTTGTAACAGGATATGCAGCACAAGCCCCCCTCCCCCACGCCACAACATTTTCTCCACTGTAAACGACTGTTGTACTGCAAAGCAAGGAGCTGAGCTGAGTCATACTCACGCCTGTAGCGCTTAGGTGGTCTCCTCTCTCGCGGCATAACACTTTACATACCGGCTAGCAAGAACCGTCGCGGGAAATCTTTACAAATGTTGCACCTTCTTGCTCCATGCGACTTCACACGTTGGTAAACTATTGCAAAGGCCTGCAGTACATTTAAACTCCGCATGGGGTCGCCATCGTGAACGCCTAACCCTTGTCCTAGCCCTAACTTTACCAGCCCTAACTTTATCGTTACTATGTTGTCGGCAGCAATGTCGTGGAGTTGCCATTGTTCTGGACAAGCCAAACGTTAGCTGTTGGGAAAACGAAGGTTAACTTGAAGCGGGTTTATACAGTATCCTAGGCAATTGGAGGTTATTTGTGGAGAAGCCTTGATTTAGGGTTTGGGATGAAAAGGAAGTGCTGAGCATGGTAGCCCCCAGCAGGACCGTATGGCGATTATTGTTGGAAACTTTGTTGTTGGAGGAGGATAACACAAGAGCTTTTTATGATTTAGGGCACATACTATTGAGGCACCATTTAATATTGAGAAACTTTATTACAGGGTGTTGATGTTGGGAATTCATAATTTATGATGTAATATTATACCTGTGATAGATACCTTAGGTTATTAACAAATATCAGTAACGTAAACAAATAAGGACCTTATTTACATAACACTAATATATTACATTGTACATGTAAATGAAAAATCACCTAATGGGTACTGTGTTATAGTGCATATTAAGTTTTCATTAACATCTGCTGGAGCAAGTATTACACTGGTGCATTATACAGTTTTCTTGGACAAAAGTTTTCACTATTTCTTCATGACTCAAGCCTTCTGACACATATACAAGTTTTATTACCCAACACACCATACATGGTTAACTTTGTACAGTAATAATGTAAGCGCATGCTGGTAGACATGTACATATTCATACACTTTATACATAGTTACATATCAACATAGAATACATAATTTAAAAAACATATTCATACAAACGATATTTTCATTATCATATTCAGCAGTGCTATCTACAAATGTATAATGATGCTAGTACTGCAATAAAGTCATATTGCATATTAAAGAAATTCTTCCTGTCATACATATATATATGTCATTGAGCTGGCATTTCTTGCTTTGACTTTCCCCTCCAGTTGGGTCAAGCAGGAACATCTAGTGCTAAGGATTGTTACCTTTTTCCTATATCTAACACTATCAAACCATTTTGTTGAAGGTGACACAAAAACTGAAATAAAGAGGCTTAATTGCAAATGTCTTAAATATCACACTATCAAGTCTAGATGTTACTGTGTTCAGATTGTTTTTGTGCCGTCGCTGGGGTGCCCGACACTGTGCATGTGCTGGGTCATCTCCAGGACTTCTCTGTAGCTGGAAGTCAAGCCTGACATGTGTAGGAAGTACTCATCCTTCTCTACCTGAACTGTCAGGTTCTGCACTCCTATATCCTTAAAAACTGCACACACCTGCAGAAGGGGAATATACAATCACTCTTGAGGTCTGCATCATGAAATAAGTGAACCAGTTTAGCTCAATGAAATCTTGACCAAGAAGATAAATGCTATGTTTGTTGCATAGGGAAATTGCCCTAGCTCTTTTCAATAAGTACAATGAACAGTGCTTTAATTTCCCATCATATGACTGCAACCCTTTCCAGTAACATGCAAGTTGGGTGAGAGCAAAACATCACAGGGCAAACATCACAGACAGGCAGTGAGATACCACAAGACCAGGATGGGACTCACTTGGCTGACTATCCTTTGATCTGGTGTCTCTGGGGTGACCTGGACATGAATGGTACCGATGGTCACACTGGAGGAGTGCTGCCAGAAATGTGGATCTCTATAGGACAAGACTCCGTCCATCGACAACACCTGAAAATGTTATTTAACAGAGGTTTAATAAATGACTTGACAATGAAAATAAACAATAAGTAAAAAAAAACGGTAGTTTATTGTGTTAATCAAGCAAGAAACCTACAGCAAGAGGCTGAACTCCATCTTGTTGCATCTAGTGTCTTGATAGAAATACATTTTGTATAATGCTAAAGAAAG